TCAAGAGTAGCGATGAACACAAACTTTAAACGCGTGTGGCTGCGTTCTACGCGAATCTCGTATGCCATCGCCCGATTTTTATCGAAATGTCACTAATTTTGAACAATTTCCTTTAAAAGGTATACACAGTATTTTATTTAACTAGAGACTTGGTCAGTTTCTTCTACTTTGGCATTAACGATCGACTTGATTTGCTTGAGGTCGGACGGAGGTGAAACATCAAGCGAAGCGAATCGAAAGCACACTCGTTCACTGACCAGTTGTTCCTAACCCCTGCAGTCTGAGAGAAAAACATATCTAAGTAGAAATCATTGAGGGAAAAACGAATGCTGACCTACAAACGTCCTTCGAGGGTGAGTCCAGTTCCAACAGCTAGCATACTCTCGGCACAAAGTGCTGTGGTTTTTACACGTCTTCGCCCGTCCACTACCTGTTTGGATTGAGAAAACTTTTCAAGTTGCTATGAATATTGAATATGAAAACAGACCAATCACTGATGAATGCGTCACAATAATGACGCAAGTTTTGTTTACACACCCCCTAGGGAGCCTATCAGAAACCCCCTTTAAGGAATGGCTGAGGGTAACTTCACGTGTTTCTCATTCTTCAACTTTGTTCCCGATGCATTTTAAAAATTTGGAATCCAAGAAATAAGCATTGGTTTATAGCGATATTTAACACACAAGACTCTTAAATAACGAAGTATAAAATGAGAAGGAAGACAAATCATTAAAACAAGAATAAAAGCAAAAAAAAACAAAGATTGAGAAGGTAAAGCAATCTAAAAAAATCGCGACTACTCCAGAACAGGATCTCCCAGCTTACTGGCAACAAATAAATCACCAATATGCAAAGATATTTGAAAGACTGTTTAACAGCGAGGTAGAAAATGGGTAGGAAAACGAATCATCAAAAAAGCAAAAAAAAACAAAACAAAACAAAACAAAAACAAAAAATAAAAACGTAAAAGCAAACAAAAAAAAGGCAAGTCTCCCGGACGGGATCTCTATCCTGACTGGGAACGCTTTAGCAGTACAATGCTCTACCCACTGAGCAGCGGGGAACTTGTCATGAAAGGCAATAAAATTTTAAGATTATATCTAACAGGTAGACTATGAACTGCAAGGAACATGTGGGCAAAGATTCTGAGGAAAAGTATTTTGGCACGAAGATAGGCATTGCTACAAAACCCCTACAGTCTGAGAGAATAACAATTGAAGTAACAATCATTTAGAAGCAACCCAATGCTCACCTTCAAACTTCTTTCAAGCGAGAGTCCAATTCCAACAGCAAGCATACTCTCGGCACAAAGTGTCGTTGTCGTTACTCGTCCTCACCGGTCCACGACCTGTTTGGTTTGAGAAAACTTTTCAACTTGCTATAAATATTGAATATGAAAACAGACCAATCACTGATGGACACGTCACAATAATGACGCAAGTTTTGTTTACACACCCTCTAGGGGAGGAATGGGTAAAGATCAATCATGTGTTACTCATTCTTCAACCTAGTTCCCGATGCATTTTATAAAATTGGAATCTTAAAAAAATACATCAGTTTATAACGACATTTAAGACACATACTTAAAGAGATATCAAGTGGAAAAAAAAAAACAAACAAACAAAAGTATTGGAATCTATAACTGACAACAACACTGATTTGACGGCCGCTCTGTAAACATACTTTAAATTTTTTCAACCTCTTACAATATTTAACTGGGAAACAATATGTAACTGCAGTATACCGAGTAATTAAGGGATATTCTAGACACATTGTGTTAGGATGTAAAATCGAGAAATCCTAAGAGTAATGTTTGTTTGGCATAGCGTAACTCCACCGCACACAAGCACCAAATACTGTGTTCCCTCTGACGAAGGGCTAATGCTCGAAACATTACAATTAGAAAGTCTACGGTGGCCAGTTTACATTAACAAGTCAGTTGATCAAACTAAATTAGCCTGTTATACCCCTATCGACGCAGCATCACATTTCCTTCAGAAACGTATCCTCTTCATTCATACACAAATAACTGAAAAACTTAAGTAAATGCGTTCAATCAGAAAAGGAACCTGATTTAATGCGATTTATCGTCGACAAGCGGTGGTAAAAGGCGGGGATTAAGAAGGTAACGTATCTTATGGGTCCTTGTCGACATCTCTAAAGTGCAGATTCCATGTGGGACCAAGTGGAACTCGTAGATAGTGGGGAAAATACGAGAGCGACGACAACGAGGACGTGGCAAAACAAAAGATCTAAAGGGCAGAACAATAGAAAGGCAGTTACGTTGTAAAAGTTTGTACATTTCTCAGGCGTCATCTGCAAAAAGAAAAGCGCAAAATCACCAAAATTTGCGTGGTCTAAGGACAGACGCATAAACGGCGGATTATTCAAGGTTTTATATGATAATATGATTGAGATCCTTGATTCCGCCCCTACTAAATTTCAACTTCAACTTAAGGAGGCTATGCACATAAACTGGGAAAAGCCTAATTTAAAGGCCCATTTTCAACCTAGATGCCTTGCGCGCCCAGATCATTTTTCATATATGAAAAATATGCTATTTTCCTCGAAGTTGCGGAATCGCTTTGATATCTTCTTCCAACTTACTAATTAGGGCTTTCAAAGTTCCATCTTGAATCATGTGCGAACAACAAACTATCATAGTATCCATATCAGTAAATAGTTTTTAATTCTTACATGTATGACAGTGAAAAACGTCATTTGAAAAGTTCATGCCGCCGAAGAAGCGGTCTAGAGGAAGGCCGAGTCTGCCCGGCTCGGCAAAGGTTATTCGACTTCGAGAGTCTGTGTATGATTTATGGAGGGCAAGGAAAACAACAATGGGTTTCGGTAACACTACAGACAGTGCTTTTGCAGAAATGTTATTGCATTGTTCCTACGATGGAACTAGAGACTCCGGGGAGATTTTTTCGAGGTGAGAATAATTATTTGACTGATTTTTACTTGAGATCCTGAGATATGTATGTAAGCGATCTCATTTGTACAAGTCATTATTCTATAATTGAAATGCGTAAAGTAAATCAGTTTTGGCCAATATTGGTTATATGTCTATATTTTATTTAGTGTTGAAGCCGAACAATTTCCTTCAACATCAAGTAAGCTTTGTACAAGTTTTATACACAGACTCGATTTATGATTTTTCAGTCTCAAATATTTAGCTGCAAATTTGTTTACTGTGTTCCTCACCAAATCTTTGTTTTTCTTTTTAATAGTGTTTGTGAATGACTATCAGAGTTCGCCATTTAACAATAGCGCGATTCCAAAACAAAAACAAACGACTGCAAAGGATCTCGGATGAAAATGGGCCTTTAAACCAACAAGTTCATCACGTCAACATGACGCTTACACTTTAGGCTTTATATTCTTTCCAACACTTTGTTACTCATTCAAATATGTAATTTTTGTCACTTAATCATAATTAATTATGCATGTTTCGCCTAGTTGTTATATAGTCCTAACGGTTTTTCAAATATTCTGTAACTGACGATGATGTTCATAACATCGAAACATGTCTTCGAAATTAAAAAATGTCGTACTCCTCTTGAAGATAACATTATGCTGAACAGAAATTCAGATTTGCTGCTAAGAGACGGAAAGTACATCTAGCCATCCGAGAAATTCTATGCCAAAGAATGAACTCATTTTTACATTGACACTGTACTTTTCTCAGCGTTGCTGTCCTGACTGCCTGAGGTTCTGAGTGACTTGTCAAGAGTACTGAGCACAAGGCTGACCGTTGCACTGGTTAACGGTGGTTACCTTTATGAAAAATCAATAGGACTATGATTGAGATTAAAACTGTACATCTTACAACCCATGGGCGTAAGAGTTAGATTAATTTATGTTGTCTGATGTTTCCTTCCTTTAAGGCATCTTAAAGATTTTACTGAAAAAAAACATTTTCTGTCTTAATCTGTGACCTGAGAGCTATTAGTATTTAAAAGGCATATCTTAGAGACTTTCGAATCAATTAAACTTGGTAAAGTGCAAGACTCTTTTACACGAAACCCGCATAAATGGTAATTTTTCAAAGTCAATATAAATAATTAAGAATCACGCCTTAAAATAGGACAATTACACTTTTATAAGGATGCGCCTTACCCGTTCTATTCAATATCAGGTATTAAGAAAGTTGTTCGTTGACAATAAAGAAAATTTTTGCTTTAAAATGCCCTCCACAGATGTTTGTAAAGCTGTCTAGACAGAGACTGGTTTTGAAAAAAATATATAGCGCCGCTCGAGCAATAAAAACAAGTAGACAAACCCATAGACAATGCAAGGAACCACCTAACTTTTCGTCAATACCTTTATCTCAAGTGTGACGAACATATTTGACAGAAGTTATGTATAAAAATGATGTCTAACTGAAAATAGTTTATAAACATAACAGTGTAATTCAAAGATGACAACCATAAATAAATAATTGCCAAGCTGTCACTTAAAATTTTTAAAACCTCGATTTTGAAAGAATCTGACTAAGGTTGACAGCATCTTTGCTTCGAGTCACATTCGCAGCTGTTAAGATGTCGTTTTATTTCACGTCAGTAGAGAGCATTTAATAATTGTAAATTACGTGATAACTACACACTGTTATAACTGAGAAAAAGTACGATTTGGCATTGAAATGTTACGGGTGAGTCCCACAGATTCAAATGAGTGAAAATGCAATACGTAGGCGTCATATTAATTTTAACTTAGAAGGAATTTCGAGTACTTAAAAACATCTTAATTTTCGCGCAGTAATCTTTATAGATACCTTTTTAAGTGTTAATGAAGGTTTTAGTAACTTTTCTCCTTATTAGCATATGCCCTTTTTCGTGGCTTCATTTTCCATTTGAATGTTTTGCTATTATCATTAATACAAATTGTATTGAAGCATAAAACGTGCGTTAACGAGGTCATAATTTGCATTACAAACCCATAGTGAGACCACCTGAAATAACATAATTTGTAACAGTGAATTCACAGTCAGAGAACATCACGCATTTTCCAAAGGACTGGTTGCTTACTTCAGAATATCGCGTTTAACTTTTTGTAGACTTGCCAGGTAGGTTAGGCCACCGTAATGCCTTTTAGAGATTGAGGAGCAAACTCCTGGAATTTTCTCCAGAATCGAAAGTTAATCGAAGTTAGCAGTATCGAGGTTAGTTAACTTGAAGTTGATGTCAAGTCAGGGGTTGAGGAAATACTGTTAACTGGATCCATGGGAAATCAATGTGCTAGTTAAACGCAGAGTGCATTAACTAAGGAAAAAAAGCACTCTCGAAAAACAGTAAGAAAAAAGATTCATGTTTTCCACACTCGAATGTTTTATTAAACAGAGACTCACGCCCTTACTTCATTTACTTTCGTGGGGCGTCGCGCCAAAGGTGTATACGAGAAACTTTTAAATACTGCTCTTAATATTCATTTCGGTCCAAGTCTGCGTGTCAGTTCAATAATAAAGCTGTGCCGTACCTCCATGTTCTGTAAGACTATTTTCCTACTGGAGTTAAAAGCTCCTGGCTCCGGTCCCATCGTCTTTTTGAGAGAGAAATCTTCCGTAAAAATGGTCTATTCACCAAGATATGTCATGAGATTTGGTTATGTTTTGTATCACAACAAGCCTTGCTCTCCAACTTCGTTTAGTATGCCGAATTACTAATGCAAGAATTTGCTTTAATGTTGTTCCATATGATATGGGCTTGAAACTAAATTTCATTCATCAAAGTTTCTTTAGTAAATTTGTTTCCGTGGTATGACTTCGGGATAGTTACTAGAATTCTTGTCGCTGATAAAAAGAGCTTTTTTTTGTCGATAATCATGATTATAATTTAAGTTGAAGATACATGTAACCTCGTTATTTTTTAATTACAACGCATCTAGGCAACGGAGTTTACTCCTTTGAAGGAAGTCGGTCAACCAAATATTTTTTTTCTGTTAACGTTATCAGCGATTCATTTAGAATCGGATTCAAGTTCTCTCTCGGCCGAGAAAAACGTGAAGAGAGAAGAAAAGTAATAAGAGAACCTGGACATGGTTTTTCATAATGACGATTACTAGATAAAACGGATCATGTATCACGGACAGAACAGGCCCAAATTCTATTCACAGCGTTACATTTTGCATTTTCTTGTGTGGTTATTCCGGTTATACGATTTTTCTTCCGTTTTAAAAATAAAGAGATCATAAATCAACTTTGACCGTAACATGTTTAGATTATTCATTCAGCAAGCATTAAAAGCGACATTTAATTAAACTAAAATACAAGGCAAAATACGAGCATTGTCCTAGGACAGGCCAAACGTACCATACTTTTTTTCATGGAAATCATCAAGACAAATGCAGTTTCATTCTGTTATAGATAGATTTTTCACCACTTTCCTGGTTTCACGTATTACGCAACCAAACGATGTCTTATTTAACAGCTTAAGTGCTGCGCTCATCACGTTATGCCAGAGTCAAGGTTAATGTGTAGCAAACCAATATATATGTGCAGAAGGACAGACGAATTGGGGTTGACAAAATGCCAAACTGTTTACCAGGCAGAATTGACTCACATCGAGGAAAAAAATTCACAACATGATTCCTATTTTCATATGGAAATAAATCGAGCAAGCGCGAAATAATGTTTTGGATGAATGTTGCGGGGCAATTAATAATTAATGTGACATCATGGAGACAGTAATAACATCTATTGCCTTCTACATTAACAGTTTTTTTACCTCATAAAGATAAGGTAACGTGTTTCGTGTGGTATTTGACAACGCTTTTCTTTCAAGGTTTTAAGAAATAACTAGTTGCATTCCAGGGTTTGGTGTTCATTGGAGAGATTGGTTCGATTTTGGTACCTAAATGGTTTCTTAAAATAATCAGGCAAGTTTAAACTTCTTTCAATACGTTAGCTAACAAATAACTCAGCAAACAGACCATCGCTTGTATTAAAAAGGGCAATATTAACTGAGAGATCTAGAAAATGCCGAGCTTTAGCTGATCTCACAGAGCGACCGCTATCGGGAATTTGCCCTTTTGTCCTTTTGTGTTCCTTTTCAAGTGGGCTTGTGGTCTGCGACACTACAACTTTCGCCAAGGCTGAACTCTATTTGAAACACCTCAAGAGGAAAATATTTTACCACGAACGAAAAAAGCAATTAAAAATATTTGGTTTAACTAATCAGAAACAAAAAGCATCGTGTTTCATATTCCAGAAAAGAATTCTAGAATCTACTCTTCGTCACTAACAGTAAAATTTTAAATACTTAATAACTAATCAGCGTGGTATGAATTGAAATTAAAATTGAGAACAGAGCGCGACTCTTGGGTCACAAAACACAACAGCAATGATAAATGAAATTATGAACATTATCGAACATTTGAGGTTCGATTTTCGTACCGATGTATACTTGCTGAATGACGTGTAGATATAATCAGTTAATTGTAATAAGTATTTGGTATTACTCTGTCACTTGTGCCTGTTAAGTCAATAACATCCAAGTTTTCATTCCTATATTTCCTTTCAGGTGCATTACTGTAATAATCTAGTTATGGGAAATTTGGTGATAACTCAAGACAACATTGTTGTAGCGTTTCCTCTTCTCCTCGCCAGCTTGTTGGAAAATCTACTATCATTGTAAAGAAGTTACTCGTTAATCTCCTCCGCGAGTTAAAGGATTAATTGTTAATCTTCACACCTGTCTCAGAGCTCGACAGGTCTCAGTGTTTATTGAAGCCTCACCACACAGCATTAGACGAAACGTTTTCAGTTCCCCATCCTCGACGGAAGGGACAAAATTGAACTTTGAGTTAGGTTTTAAGGTGTACTTTTCAATATCTGTCAGTCTGAGGTTTGTTTCATCCTATTGATGTAAATGGTTACGTCTCGAACGTAGAAATCTGGCGTTAGCTCGTGAAATGCGATATTCATAATACTAGCTTTTCTCTGAACTTGATTTCGAACTGAGGGCAGAATGCTCTTTCTTTTTTTTTTTTTCAACAGAAATAGAGAAGAGCAGAGCAGGAGAAGACGAATTGCGTGGTTATCATTGTGAACTAAAAAGTACAAGAGATCATCATGGCTTTGCGATGGATCAGAAATGTCATTTTCTCCGTAATTGCCGTTAACGTCGTTGGACAGTAAGACATCTGACTAATATAGGGTCTAATATGACTAATCTCTGAATATTGTGCGTGTTCTAAGTAGACAGTCTAAATTTTGTTTTTCCGAGAAAACAAAGTTGCCTCCGATGTCATTCTGCTGCTCTCAATCTCGTTAACTTTGCCAAGCGACCACTCTAGACGCCATGTCAAGAGAGGAAACACGCCAGAATGACAAACAGAATCTCAAATACTGACAGACAGTCCCAGTTTCTAGATAAGCTCCTCGTGACATTTTCCCATCTCCGATTGGATGTTATGTTTGCTTTGGTTTTGGTTTTACAACACTAAATCAAAATACGCTGGAAAAAATGAGATTTCAATGTCATGGTTCAGCTAAGAGGGGCGGTACCTCAAGAAACTAAATCAATTTTACCAATATTTTTTCCTCATTATTATCATAACTGTTTACCTTTGATGAATTTTAGTGAGGAAAATAGACCTGAGCTAGCGTTAAATGGAACAGGAAATATTTCCATAACTTTGGTGGATTATCTGACGACAAAGTACGACAAGACAGTCAGGCCAAGGGCTGCATCAGGTGATTATGCAGTGGCAGATCGTTAGAGCTTCTTTATTTTGAGAACACCTTTAATTTTATATATTAAAATTCCCTTTAGAATACGAAAAAACACGGAAAAATTCCTTTTCATACACTGTTATATGATAAACTGATGTATGTCACGTTTTAAGAATAATAGTAGTTTACCAGGTTACTGCAGGGGAGAATAAAGCTCAATCTGCGGTATTACTTTCTATTTTTGGAGGGGGAGGAAGTGGGTGGGTGGAGAGTTTGGGGAGAAGGAGTAATTTGAGAGAGAGGGACGGTTAAGGGGGTGGGTGAAAGTGGAAGGGGAGGAGGGAAGGGGTACGAAGGGAGGGAAAAAAGAAGAGGGGAAAGGGAGAAGATGAAAGGGAAAGAGATATGGGCAAGGGGGAAAGGGAGAAGGGACAAGGGAGAAAGGGAGAGGGGGAACTGGGAAAGGGGGGAAGTGACAAGGGGGACTGGAAAAGGGAGGAGGGGGAAGGGGAAAGGGAGATACGAAGAATTGAGAAGGGGAAAGGGAGAAAAGGGAACTGGGAAAGGGGGAAAGGGAGAGAGGGGGACTGGGAAAAAATGGAGGGGGGAAGGGGAAAGGGAGATAGGAAGAATGGAGAAGAGGTAAGGGAGAAGAGGGAACTGGGAAAAAGGGGAAGTGAGGAGGGGGACTGGGAAAGGGGAACTGGGAAAGGGGGGAATGGAGAAAGGAGGGAAAGGAGAAAGGAGAAAGGGAAAAAACGAGAAGGGGAAAATGAATGTGGTCAATTGATGAAAAGCTCAGGCAGTGGTTTTATGTATTTGTAAGAGTTAAACGGAAAATCATTAGAGTGAGCCAAGATGTTTCCATGTCATGAAACCTATCGGAGAATGAACGGGTGATGGTAGACTACAACAGTTTGCAACACTTAGAGTCCTTTTCATTCTGATTCAGAACCACCCGGGTTCTGTTCATTTGTAATAATTATTTGATGGATTTTTCAGTGTATAAAATAAAACAATTACTCCAAACCAAATTCTTTTACCACCATTTTATAATTTGTAGGTAAACCTTCGGAGGTATTTTTAGATATATATGTGGAGTCGTTTGGAAACATAAAGGAAGTGAACATGGTAAGATCATGAGTCTATAATTCTCCTTCTTTGAATTTGAATCAATTTCCAATCATCATTTCCCTAAACAATGCTAAGGTTTTATTTTGATATGTATTCAATGTGCTTTTTGTTTGGTGTTGCACGTTCCATGAGCCTCAGTTGTAAACGAACCTTTCCGAGCGGAATAGTGCCCAGTGTTAATTGAAAGTGACACAATAAAAACATCCTTCCTTATTTGACAGCCGAATACAAAATTTGTTATCCTTCCTCGTCACTCCGTCCGTAGAGACACTTTCACCTTTGGTGATACTGGCTGCGCCAGGAATGATCCACCTCTATGGGCCACGTCCAAAGAGATCTGTACAGCTAAGGGACTGGCCCTAGTTGTTCGAAAGGTGGAGAACGCTATCCACCGGATAAAACTCTATCCTGTGGATAATGCTATACGTTTTTCTATCCGTTATCCGTCGGATAGCTATTTAACCGCTCGATAGCGTTATCTGCTCTTTATACAACAGGGCCATGGTCATTAGTTATGACCTGAGAGTAAGTGGGGTGGGGTGAGTTTGGTAGATTTTGGTTGTGTCCCGTCTTACGATAAAATTTCATTCATTCTCCCACACGGCTTTGTAATTTTTCTTATGAATTTCCCTCCCTTTTTATTGGCAGTTTTATTGGGAATCAATTTTTTATGTTCGCCCCTTCATCTTTTGTTGGCAACAACTGTTCCCCCTCTGTTCCCCCTGAAAACAGGTAATCACCCCCCTCCCCCAAATCCTCCGCCCCTCCTCGCCGGGCGTTGAATAATTACTTATCCTTAAACATCTCCCTTTCAATTCTTTGTTCTCTAGGAATTCCCAGGTTTTATGTATTTCCGTCAGATGTGGTTCGAGGATCGTATCGCTAAGTACATAACCTCTGATGGTCAAGTGCTACAGCGAGAGCATATTTCTCGTCTGTGGCTACCGGACTCTTACTGCTACAATGCTAAGACCTCAGACCTCATGTTGCCTGACACAGAAGTTCATAGCGTCATCAGAATCGATCGGAGAGGCTTCATTATGTACAGTAGAAGGTGAGTGCACCATAAATGTTATCGGAAGAAAACTGAATTTCCAAGTAGATACGTACACAAAAAGAAAAATTTAATGGATCGATCTCTTACGGGTCTTATCGATCAGACGGCGGTATATATGTTTAAATCTATCGAAAACAACTGATAAATGATGTGTTACATACTTTTGCAATTGTAAGTCAGTGAAAGGCAACACACATTTAGCTCTCATATCCAGAGTCCTCTTTTCTTTTTTTAGTACGCACATTATCGCTTCATGTGAGATGGATTTGCACGATTTTCCTATGGACACACAGCGGTGTAAATTATCATTTGGTAGCTGTGAGTAATTATTTTTCTTGATTTTGGTTTTTTTGATCGCATTCATTTTGTGCTGGGTGGGCTTTGACGAATGGCCGCTAATGCACGAACGTCAGCTTTCTAATCTCTTTACGATGGCCAATCAACATTTATTTATCAACTCTGTCAATAAAACTAAATTATACATGAAGAAATGCCATGGGAAAGGTTTTATAGTTGTTATTCAGTTGACTTTCCGAATTTTCCACGAGTAGAAGTCGACCCTCTCTTGTTTTAATTTTCTTCATTTTTGTCTCTACTATTTTACCTGTCGTAGATGGCCATACAGACAATGACATTCTCTTAAAATGGAGGAATCCCACGATTTCAATTGCCAATAAAGAAATGGCGCAATTTTCCGTTGGTGACGCAACCTTGTCCACTGAAGTCAACGAGTTTTCCACCGGTAAGAATGCGAAATGAATATAAGTAATGAGCATGTCCAACTGAACTTGCTTGACTGTAATTTGCTTCCGCTCGAATACCAGATGAACTCTCGCAACGATTAAGTGGTCCAAGGAACTTGATTAATTTGGAGGAATGGTCAATATGGTGCCTTTAATTTATAATCCTAACGAAAATGTTGCCTTAGTGGTTAATACACCGAGTCTGATAAACAAATTTGTTCGGATGTCATCAAAATTTCTTGAAATTCAACTGATGGGTTTTTCCAGCATCAGAATACATTTTGGGTTAATCTGGGTGAGAACCAGGGTTTAGGCGAAGTCACTTTTAGGCGAAGAAAATCTGAGTGAAAGCCTCTCCGCATCAGGGAGTGGGAATTTTTTGATTCGGTAGTCACAGCCAAGGTCTGATAAACCAATGTGTCGAACAGTGACTGGATGTCCTTTCTCAAAACATTACTAACTTTTCTTCTTTCATTTTTCCCAAGGGAACTTTACGGTGTTGACAGTGACATTTCCGTTCAAGAGACGCATGGGTTATTACATCATCCAGGTCTACATCCCTTGTATATTTCTGGTCATGCTCAGTTGGATCGTGTTCTGGATGAGGCCTGATGACAGCGCCAGTAGACTGACTGTGGGCATCACAACTATCTTGACCATCGTGTTTATGCTCGGGTATACCAACGGAATGCTTCCGAAGGTAAGGGAACAGTCATAATCTATTAATCGGGTAGAGGGGGGGGGACTGAAGGAGTAGTTTGAGGCGATCACATGGTTTTAGGAGCCGACAGAGTATAAAAGGATGACTTTAAAACTGTCTGCCAATTAATTGCCAACGAGGGAGGGGCGTAATAAGAATATATGACAGAGCCGTACAGGAGGATCAGGTGAATGTTACCAAATCCACTGACCCAACCTGTCATAATTGAGAACAACTTGTTCCAAAACAAAAAACGAAATAACAATATGGTTAGTAATTCGCCGATTTCCATACTGCTAATCCCTGAACGATATATCAAAATAAATACTTAAGTTTATTCTAACTGGAAAATACTAATTTCCACTCAATATACCAAGCGAGAGAAAAACGTAAAATATTGAGCTGCAAACTACAGCTAGCCACGCTTAAAAAAACCATAGATGTATGTAATTTAAAGAGGTTGTGTGGATTAGTGACTTCTGCTAAGAAATTGTTCATATACTTTTTGGTCACAGGTCAGCTATGTTAAAGGAATGGACTGGTACCTAATGGTGTGTTTCACAATCATTTTTCTGAGTCTGTTGGAATGCATTGTCGTGGACAGGTTGTGGAGAGCAAACGCCAGGAAAATAGAAGACGAACGAAAAAACAGAAACACGAGGAATTCCGGTGACGAGGAACTAAGAACGGTAAAAAAAAAAAAACAAAATGTGGAACATAGCCGACCAGATTTTAATGATATGTGCCTCGCATATGATACTGAAATCTGATTGGCTTTTGTCCCATCGTGCCCTCGTCTACTTTATATATAGTACGACCGATTTCAAAATTGTTCGCCGTTCGTAATTCTATCATAATAGGATTTTTTTAACAATTTGCCTCCTTGTAGAACTGATTCAATTGCATTTTCTTCTAAATAGAATTCCATGAGGGACAGAAGTGGACTGAACTGCCGTTATGTGTCTGGTGTTCAAATTCTGAGACCACGAAAAGCAGATACTGGCACTCAAACAAACAACGAGGGAGGAAATCGCCTGAATCGCTGGGAATCAAATGAACACGGAGAACTTTCCCATATGATAAAAGATGAATACAGGCATTTGAGCCTCGGGGAGATGCGTCCGCCTTTGCCCGATGAGGCCTGGGTCGAAATGGACGAGGAAAACACGCAGGCGCATTACGACACAGTTGTTCGCTGCTTCTTCAACAAAAGGAACTATCGCCCGATGGAACTCTCCGCTAAAGTGGACAAAGCAAGCCGCATCTTGTTTCCGTTAACGTTTTTAATTTATAACATTGCATATTGGGTGACTTACCTCCATGGCATTAATGTTTTACCCTACAGAATATAAAATACCAGATACTGGGGTTAGCGAGGTTTAAGTCACAGCTTCAAATCTAGTGTTGCCTATTTCATTGATAAGATCATTCCAGCCTTTGACACATTGTAACTTTCACTTGCACCGAAAACAATTTTTTTTCGGAAAGAGCTCTCGTTGTGTCAATCAAATGTGTCCATCGATCGTTCCCGAGATCTGAAAGCCGCTCACTTTCATTACTGATCCGGTTACATTTTGTTGTAGCCTTTCTTTTGAGAGTTGGACACCAAACAGTGTAATAAAATTGTAAAAAGATCGTATTAACTGATCATTGGTTGGAGTGAAAGAGTGAAAACGAGCTGTAAATATAAACACAGTAATAATTTAAGGATTTTCTGAACCTCTGAAGTATGTGTCCCTTTGTGAAAGAAATGAAAATTATGTAGAATAAATTCACCGAGGTAAGCATGATTCTTTATGAGTGTGAATCTTTTTTCTCTCTGTCTGTATTGAATTTATTCAACTGTTCGCTTTTCACAATTCTGATACTTTTACCTGAGGCGGAATAAAGACTGCTTCAATTGTGAAGTATAATAAAGTATAATCAAACTTTCTAGATCTCTCTTTCCGACTTAACTAACCCGAGGTTGTTCCCTTTGTCAGTTTTATTGTTCCCCTCAAAGAAGTTAGATACCTTTGTTTATAGACTTTCACTAATTTTACATACATATACTTATTTCTCCCACGGTATTCTTTACTTGGGCCTGTCAAATTATTGCTATTTTTTTTAAATATTTGTAAGTCTTGCGTGCTGCAACTCGATAAAAGGCGTTATTCTTTCATGTTACCATTTTTAGGTTGACTAAAGAATAAATTTTTTTTTTTAGTTCAAACATCAAGCTTTAATTAAAGTGGTCCGTATTTCTTTAATGAATATCCCCGTAAATGTCAAGTGTTCTTGCATTTTTGTCTTACCTAGAAATTTACGAGTTTCTCAACTTGAAACTATCTTAGATTAACACATATATATAGGAAGAGCGATGAATTTCCCCTTGAATTCTTTTCCCTTTTAAGGACTCTTGGAATTATAATCGTGTTGTCTGCTTTGTTTAGCGATACCACACCCCGCAAGACTCAAGCCCCCTTTTGACCAAGCTTGGGTTTCCGGCAGACGCCTGTTATAAGCTTAGTCGGTTATCAAGGCAATGACATAAACTTTTAAGAGCAAGAAACATCCTTTGTAAGTGTTCCGCTAAGAGATAGGGTACTTGATAGCTTATAAATATTTTGTCTGCTTTATTCATTTCTTTACTTCGTAGAAGTTCATCTTTTTTAGAATCTCGCATGATTTTAAGATCCCTCCAAGTTATGTAACCGCAGGTGCCGCATGTGCGTTAATGGAAGGCATGCTGCCTCAGCATGCCTGTAAAATAAGGGAATTATCTAAAGCTCTCAGAGTAACAGGCATTCATAACAATAGAATTTAATTACAATAGGAGTGATATCTGGTTTACCAATGGAATACAGGTGATAATGAAACGAACGGCCTGGGGTTCAACACAATGGCTTCCTACCTGACGGCAACCGCTCAGATGTTTCCCCATAGCCAATCAAGATCAAGAATTACGAAAACAATATAGAAATTACCTACAAGGCTCCCTGGGGAAGCTTTTGAAACACAGATTTCTGCTCTTGTAAAGACAGACATTTTCTCAGTTACCACTAACAATTATCCCTAATGTTGCCAAATAACCATCAAAAATTATGTTGCTATGTTTCAAGAAATTGAGGCACGTCATTAACTTCGTCGCAAGGCGTTGTGTAAAATTTTACATTAGTGTGAAGTAAAACAGATTTGAATACTACTGTTCAATAGCAAGCTCAAAGTTTATTACAAACAGCTTAGTTATACCACGCTATCGAGAGCAAACACCTGCTAAGGCGCCCTACTGGAGAGCTCTAATTTGGAAGATCGTTTCATACACACACTCTCGATACTTCAAACTTCTAGAAACACTCGAATGGAAAATGAGGTCGTTGTGATCGGTGTTGTAGAGACGTTCTATTGAACCATCTCTGTGAAGATCAATCAGTTTTCTGCGGAGCTGACACTTTTTTCCACTTCTATTTGGAATATTGATATTCCATATCAACCTGCCGATACTAAGAGTTCTCGGAACGAAAGTATCTCTAAACTGTATTTCGTCACTGTTTTAACAAGGTAGGTAGTTTTTGTTTTAAGCCAGTTTGTCCGTACAAAAGTAAAAGTTTGGTCGAGAACGACATACATAAATAAGACTGGAAATCGAGCTTACAGCCATCTCAGAATAAATTTTATTCCGATGCGGAGAATTGAATTCAATTTCGAACATATGGGGTTTCTAAACAGACTGATCTACGCTGTTAGCTTCACAAACTCGCATTCCACAGCACCGGTATGGCGATTTTCAGGAGTGATATCGAATCTTGGTTTTTTTAAAATAATATGAACTTTAGCCAAAGCTTTTTTACAAGTCGAATTTGTATTGTGTTGCATCTGATTAAAGGGATTAGTTTTCATCAATTCATCAATTCTTTCGCTACGAATATTTTTATAAAAAATGCTTTTAATTTAACTTTACGTTTTTTGAATGGCAAAATAACTCAGGATTATTCCTCTACAAAAGGCAAAAAAGGGATTCTGTGGCATACTGGAATGGTCTTACAGACGACGAGAATACTTTCTATTGACAAAAAAGCAACAACATTCATAACTATTTGAAACAAAAGCTAGAAAGAAACAACGAGACACGCTTAATTTTAATTTTTAAGCTGGTCAATAGCTTTGAAAGCAAGCTGAAAAATAACATCATCTATTGTTGATTCCTTCATAAAATGTATCGGCTGACAAGAAACAATAACCAAGGGAAATTATCATTTTGACAAGATTCAAAGCAACCATCCTCAGTAAAAGTTTTTTGTATGAACACAGAGGAGATCCACGGAAGATGAGAAAGATTAAAATGTACTACTGTACTTTTGTAATGATAGAGACCTTGATTTTGTAGTGTTTCCAGGGAAAGAAAGAAATGTGCTTTTCAATTGGTTGTTGTGAAAACTAAAGTAAATTTAAAGTCAGTGCAAAAGCCGAGCAGTACAAAGTTGAATAGGACAAGAAACCAATACAAGCCGACGAAAGTAACTCTACAAGTGAAATAGACCCTTTCAAAGTTAACGCCGCCATTTTGCCTGGGGTGCAAAACTGCTGGGGCGAACGAAAAATGTACAGTGAATGTATGGGAAAAGTTGAGAAAATGATGCTCGATAATTTGAGGAAGGTTGACATCGTGGAATTTTTATGAATTACAAACTTAAGATACCAGACCTACCAGTTTACCGCTCAAATTTGAGAAATGAAGTCTCGCGAAGAAAGCCGCAAATTAAGAGTTTGATTTTCCATATATTTGTCTCTAACACCAAACCGCCGTTTCCGGGAAAATTTAAAAGCATTTGTATGAAAGACTAAAAATAAGATTTCTCACTTCTCAGTGAGCCTGAACACTTCACATTTAATCGGCAACATCTTTTGCTAGGTATCTTTACTTCGTAATTCATAGAAATTGCAGAATGTCAACCTTCCTCAGATTATCGAGCATCAATCTCTCCGATGCAAACCATCAAGTGTGGTGTCCCTCAAGGTTCGATTTTAGGCCCACTATTGTTTATTCTATACATTAATGACCTTCCTAATGCCTCTGAATTATCAGACCCTCTACTTTTTGCTGATGACATCAGTATCTTTTATTCTCACTAAAATCTAAATTGCTTAGAATCTATACTTAATGATGAACTCCAAAACATTGACGTTTGGCTAAAATGTAACAAGCTTTCAGTTAATGCAAAGAAAACCAACTATATAACTTTTAAAACCAGACAGAAGAAATTTAACTCCAGCATTTCTCTCTCCTATGGAGGTAAACCCCTACAACAAGCTAATGTAACTAAATTCCTTGGGGTCTATATTGACAATCATCTCACCTGGAAATACCATATCAGCTATGTATGTAAACAAATCGCTAAATCAATAGGTATTTATTTAGGTCTCGCTTTTCCCTATCCTCTGCAACCAAGCTCACTTTGTATTACACCTTAGTTTGTCCTTATATCGTCTATTGTAACTCCGTCTGGTCGTCCACATACGTATCTAACTTAAATAGAATTTATTATTTGCAAAAGCGAG